AATAATACTCCAATAAGTAGTTGGTATGTATTTAACATGCTGGAAAAGATGTTTGGGAAATTTTACTTAGCCATGGTATTTTGACCTCCCTGCCATGGTATTTATGCCAGTATGCCAGTAGAACCCCCCCTATACACCTCCAATTTAAAAAAAAATCATAGCCAACATAGTGTACATTTGATAATCTGCAGTATAACTTTTGAACAGGGGGGTTCTATTTTCCATGGTGGGGTTCAAAATACCACATGGGTAAAATGACCCCGGGGTCAAAATACCATTCGGTATACTGACCCCGGGGTCAATTAACCATATGGTATTTTGACCCCGGGTTAACTTTTCATGGGGGTTCAAAATACCATATGACACTGGGATACTGTAAATTAAATAATTCTATTCTAGAAGAAAACGAATATTGTAAAGAAATAGAAATAATAATTGCAAAATATAAGACTATCATGCAAGAAACAACTATCGATTTGCATCTTCTATGAGATGCAATAAAACTTGATATTAAACTTTTTACCATAAACTTTTGCAAACGTAGAGCATGCATTAAAACAATTAGAAAAAAAAACTCAAAACATTTTAACAGAAAAATATCAGATGAATGAAAATAACGTATTGCAAACAATAAATCAGATTGAAAATCAATTAGAAAAGTACTATGAATATAAAGCAAAAGGCGCCCAATAAAGAAAATATTGTTACAGATCAAAGCGAAGTACTTCAAATTGAAATTTTTTTTTACGAAAAACTATACTGTGATTTATTTCCTTTGTAATACTGGTTATTTTAAGCATTACTGTCTAGTTTTGTCATAATCAGTTCAATAGTTTGAGAAAAATCTAGTATAATGTAAGACATTAACAGCGATTCGAGCAACATTTCTACCAAAAATTCAAATCAAGCTGCATCATGTTAGAAAATAGTGTTGACCAATAAATGATCAAATATTTATCTAATCTGCCTACAAACAGTTGAATATGATACAAAAGATGACTGTAGGATGATAAATACGACTAATGGACCTCTTTGTCTTCATTATGAGGTCCCTTTTTACATACACGGTCAAAGGTGCACGTGCAGCTTCCCATAATAGGAGTAATTCCACCATTGTTTTCCCCTATTAGTTTTTGTTAAATTTGTACTTTTCAACAAATTGTGCAGAATTTATCTTTGTTTCAAATAAAGAGTAAAGTTTTATCCCGTCCAGTACTTGAGAAAAAAAATTCACATAACATTTCATTGCATATAAGATAATAACCATCATTGGAAGTTAACCAATCAAATTTTCACCCCTTTTTTCTTGTTTAAGAGCTTTAGGAACCATGTAACCTCAAGTTTCCAAAATATTTTATAGAAAGAAACACTAAATAAAAAAAGAATGATGCTTTGAAACGCCCAAGATATATGTTTATGACCAGAATTTTTTTACTGCAATGAAATAAAGGATTAATTTCATACAACTGTCAAATTCAAGGGAATATTTTTTTCGACCGGATGTGACGTACTATGATTTGGTGGTATTACACCTGAAAGAATGGAAAAGTAAAGGTCAAATCCGGAACAAGAACTACGCAATTACCAATTTAGATGATTAGCATTTATATATGTATGTATGAAAGTATGTAATTAACTAACAATTATAAAGTAAAACTTATATTTAAGACACCCTGTTTTTTAAGATATTAATATATCAAGGTACCTTGTTCGTGAAAGCTGTAGAAATAAGGTAATTGTAACAGCTTTAGACTAATAAATCAATTATCATTGTCAAAAAATAAACAATCACTGGTCATTATTAAGATCTAAGCAGAAAAATTTACAATACCCTCAAAAGTTGAACGACCATCACTTGTGCAAACATATCTATTTTTCATAAATTTGATAGTGTCATTTTAGTTATATTTGGGTTGTAAATTATATGATAAACACGCAAACTATCTCGTTTGCATTGCAATGACACGACATCTGACGACAACTTTGCGTGATTATTTGTTTTTCGTAGAATATGCAGAGTTTCTCTTTCCGAAAATAACGTCACACAAATTATCACAGAAAGTTCACAATTTTGCCAGATACAAGGGTAAAGAAAATGCGAATCTTGTTTGTTTTTGTTTTTTCTTATTTTTTATTCAATTACAACTAGGCAAAATTTACAGCTTTTACAAAAAAATAAAATCAAAGATAAATCGTAACACTGCATTAATACAAGTACTCACTACTACGCCGACATCCAAAAGGTATGTGAATCTATATTCGTATATTACCAGAGGTATCTTCATCATATTATGTAGTGATACTATAGTTGTAAAACAAGACCACTTGGAGGTTGCTGTCTTTTCTTTCTTCATTTAGAATTGTGTTAAGATACGACCATTTGATATTCGGGTTGTGTGAGGAGGAAAGTTTTTGCGGATTGACTTTTCATTTTCCCCAATTGCTACGAATGCTTTTTTTCCCGCGGCAATCAGGAAATTGCATGAACTCCAAAAGGAGCAAGGCTGTCCCGCCTGGGTACGTCCACGAGCTAAGTATCTCTAGCTATGCATGCATCTCTTTATATCACTGATCAGACGATTTTTCGAGAATTGTAAGGTATTAGACCACGAAAAAATATGTCTGTCAGAAGTTGAGACACAGTCAAGTTGTTTTTGGTCAATCAACATTGTCAATCCGTGATGGTGACCGTAAAACGTATTTAGTGCCGATTGCAGTCAAACAACAGCTAACAACATATGGTCCAGATAATCTGACTTGGTGCAAACACAAACTGAGGTTGGATTAAACCAGTTTTACTTTTGCACAATAATCTCCCCCTTTGTTGACGAGTTGACACTCATTAGAAAACTGAATCAAATTTTAAGCTTACATCCTAGTTAGAAGTGTACCATCAATTTCAATTTTAAGAAAAAAATATTTAGATAGGGAACAAACTTTTTTGTATTAGTACTATACTTAATTTCAAGGTATACAAGGATATAAAATTTCATTCAACCAATCGACCGATGGATGAAATGTGTGGGATTAATAACAGAACATCATCAATATATCTGAACGTAAACTTACGAAATTCGGCAAGGTGATTCTTATTTTGCATGAGAAGGTTTAATGTGAATAATGTTTCATCGGAACATAAAAGGGTCGGTATTAGTTGACAATTAGTACCCAAATAATACCGACTGTTTGTTGTAAAATAAAATACTCAACTCAAGTAATATGTTTTCGATCAAATAGTCTGGTATTCAAATGGATGAAATTGTCTGTGGTGGCATTATTTGAAATAAGTGTGACTATGTACTAAGTAAGATTTTTCGTGAAAATTTGTTCTTTATGATTCACAATAAACACACGAAGTATAGTACTGTCAATCGTCTTTCTTATTTTAAAAGAATGACTTTTGCGAAATGTATTTTTCATCTTCTAGACATTATAGTCAAATTCTTATTCATACGTGATAACGTACCATTAAACTCTCGCATTTTCGTGTGGAATAACGAATTGCGAATACGCTAATTCTTTTGTTGGTGTAGTAATTATTTGCTCGCATCGAGTGCTTACGATTATGGTTTTGATCCCAGGTGAGAACAATAATGAATTTAACTTGTTTTGATATTTGCTGATATATCATGAAATATGCGACTCTAATGACCAGGATAAAGACTGATCGGCTCGGAGACAAAATAAAGTATCCTGGTTGGATGACATATTTTTATTGACACAATTACATTGTAATGTCGGACACAACGAGTTGGTAAAATAGAAAGCTGGATGTACATATATAACACTTTAACATGTTATCAACCTGAATATGTATGGTATATTTGCCAATGAAAAATAAGAATTTAATCAACCCTTTAAAGATGTTTTTTTTTTATATTTGGCCTTTAACCTAAAAATTGATTATTTATGTATTTAGTATAAATGAAATGTATAAATCAATCACATAGCAATCCTCTGACACAAAAAAAGAAGGCCAGCATATTATATTCTACAAAAGAGAAGTTATCATTTTCTAAATCGATGTAATTCTAGTAAGACAAATTGTGAATACCAACAGCCGAGATCATATAAGTTCTGTTATCAATACCAATTTTCTACATGACAAAACAGGTTATATATATCAAAAGACATCACTAGAAAGTGCCTGACTTGAGACATGCACATGAACAACCCTACGGAAAAGCAATTTACTGATTTGGATAACTGTACAATAGACACAAAAAGCGATTATTAAAACATCAACAATAAAATCAAAACCATTCCAAAGGATCTGAAATTGTTCTTTTAATGTGAAATGATGTCGTCTTACAGTCTGATATCAATGACTGAACATAAATTTGGCGTAGATTTCATACGACAATGTCATAAAAAGTACAAAAAAGACATGACCTTGTCGAATGCGTGCAAAATATATTTGTACACGATTTCAATGTAGAAGAAATTAAAAAAAAACATTTAGTCTTGCTTTAAAGTATGATTTAGAATATCAAAGGTGTGTCCCTTCCTCTCCCCTTCCCCACCCCTCCCCCTAAAAAGAACAGCAACGCCATATATAATTTATAGTTAAAATCATAATGAGGCAATCAGAAACATTTTAAAAGGCCGCTTAAAATAAACTTCTTGCAGGTGGAATCACACTTCCAGGAAAATTCTATATTCGATTAAAATTTAGTAATATGTTTGTCAAATTGTTTTTCATATGGCTACTGTTAAAAAGTTTGAACAATTAAAAGATAATGGTTATTGAAATTCAAACTTACATGGTTGGTTGCGAACTAAACTTTACGGAAAATAAGATTATTTCATTTTATTCATGGTAAATTTTTCATTTTATGTGGCTTTATCCAGTAATATCTGTATATGAAGTTTACTTTTTTTTTACCTATTATATCTTTCAGCAGTAGTTTAAATTTTGTTTTACGCATTTTGTTACCTCTTTTAATTTGATAAAGGTGTTTATCTTATTTTATCCTTTTCTGTATTTCCAAACATCAAAGAAATCCGTTTATGGGAAGTTGCGTACGGAAAGTCATGCCAACAAAGTTCAACCGCTGGGGTAGAATATGCTTCAAAGGCTGTTGATGGAGATTTGAATACATATATGCACACTAACAAGGACCAATCACCTTATTGGATTGTTGACCTAGGAAAACCATACCAAATAAAGCTGATCGAAATATTCAACAGAAACAAAGGTTCTATAGATACAGGTGAGTAAAGTTATCTACGTGATGGGCTATATCTGTTTAGTGACATATAATAAATCTTTTATACACTATTTGACATTCTATGATTTGTTATTTCTTTTGTTTGTGTTCTTTTTGTAGACTACCCTCGCTCTATTTGGCAAAACCTTTTGGAATGTTGTGTTCTCAATGCTCTTCGACTTCGTACTTTAGTTGGTCTTTTTAATTGTTTTTATTCGAGCGTCACTGATCAGTCTTTTGTAGAAGAAACGCGCGTCTGGCGTACAAAATGTTAAACTTGGTATCTATGCTAAGTTTACTTACTGTTATTGACATCTAAATTCGATTATTTCTATCTTTATGATAAATTTCCGAAATTTGATTTGGTAATTTGTGGCATGCATTTTACGTTCTTATAAACAGAATTCTCTTAATTTTATGCAGATGTTAAGCATTGTAGCTAATAGTCAAACTTCGAAAAAGTGTACTATTGACGTGTTGTATTCAAGATAAGGAGACGATTTCAAACCAACCTGAGTGTTAAAACTAGGAAATCAGTGATCGAATGCAAACGGGAATGCATTAACAGGACAAACAAGGAATATCCTATACGAAAAAGAACACATAAATACACTGCAATCTAAGCATAGGAAAAAAGATTAACTTTTAATTTGTTTCAGGACGACGTCTGCATGACCTGGACATTATTGTCGGTACTTCATCAAATAACATGCATCTATGTACCCATTACGCAGGACCGGCTCAACTCGGAGATCATCTTGTGTTTGGATGTCAATATGACGAAAAGGCACGATATGTTAAATTGATGATACGAGGAAGAGAGTTCTTACATGTGGCTGAAGTCAAAGTGTATGCACTGTATGAATAATTTGGCTGAATAAATTATACATACGTTTTCTTACAGTTTTCAAAAGAGTGTATGCTTATGCTGGTCTTTAAATCCAGAAAATATTGTAGAAAAAAGTTTTTACTCGTAATATTTACATTTATATACTTCAGCAGATACACAACTTTGGTAATATCGTGGTAACATACTTGTCCTTGTGTAGGTCATTGTTCTTCCATACAGATGATAACAAGGACATTCAAAACTCAATAGTAAAATTTAAACTGACAACGCCATAACAAACAAAAAACAAAGACGACAAAAAACAAAAAAGCAACAAAACACTACATAAAATGTTTTCAAGTCTGAGAAACACGAACCCCACCATAAACTAAAGGTGATTTCAAGTGTTCCACAATGGTACTTATTTTTTTCTCCACTAGTAACATCCGTCATGTTGTTAATGGTTAGTACAAATTCGGTTATAACGGTCAAACAAGTCGTGTTTTGAATTTTTTTTTTGCGCAAAGTAAAGTGATACTAAAGAGTAAAGGTAAAACTTGTCAGCTAGAATCTAGCTAATAAAATCAGGCTTTTCGATATTTCAGACAGGTAGACACGGTTCAATTATTTGTAAAATCTGGATTTGGGCTAGCTTTTAGAAGATATGATTAATGGTAAATCGGAATTTTGTCGTTTTGATAATCGTTTTGTGCTTAGTACAGATCTGATGATTCAACCCAATCCAATTATTTATAATATATATTAATTCAACAGTTTAATTCCTACATTTGTATGCAATTTTAAACCATAGCAGTCCTGGGGTAGGTTAAGGTTAAACCAGTTTGAACCCAACATTTTTTTCCGCCGATGATAATGCCTGTACCAAGTTAGGAATATGGCAGTTGTTTTCCATTCGTTCGTTGATTGATTTAGTCGAGTGTTTGATTTGGTCAGGTTTAATGGACTTCCCTCTTTTTTTAATTTACCTTCGAGTTCGCTATTTTTGTTTATACTATTTTTTCCCTTTCAATATATCACATAACCAATGGTGCGTCGGAATCCTACTTTCGCATTTACTGTGTATCAAGAAGTATTGTAGCCCTATATATATTGTTGGGGCTCTTGCAGTTTACCAACCTGCAATTTCATTAAGAAGCAGCGAAGATCCAAGGTCAGTGATGTATTTTACTACGGTCTTAAACTTAACTTTAATTTTTTTTTAATTCCACATTCACAGTTACTTAATCATATGTTGCTAGCATACTCACGGAAGCATTAAAAAGTATTAACAAAATACCGAACTCCATGGTAAATTCAAAAAGGGAGAAGTCCATAAAACCTGACACAATCGAATACTCGACTATATCAATCAACGGAACGAATCGAAAACAACTGTCATATTCCTGACTTGGTACAGGCATTTTCCCCAGCGGAAGAAAATGTTGGTTTAAATCTGGTTTGATAGTTAACTAAACATCCCACTTGTATGATAGTTATGTAAAGTTCCGTTATATTTACAAAATTATGTGAACAACCCAAACAGACATAATATGTTATCGTGACAATAATTGGGATACAGCTGCCAAAGCTGAGTACAGATACACCACAGACATACAAACACAACTGACTTAAAGATTCAAATAAACTTACCTAAAAGTCGGACAAAGACGCCAACAAAAAAAGTATTTGTAGTTCATAGTACATTTTGTACATACATTATAGTAAAACATAATAAAAAATACACTTCCGATAAAAAAACAAATTAAGTAAAATATAAATACAAGCGTAAACAATATGAACACAACACTATAAAAACCTCATGCGTCCGAATTGTAACTCGGGACCCACCCATATCAGGAACGCCCAAATGCAAATAATCCGAAAGCTGGGTGGACGAATACCGAGCCACACTTAGAGTCATACGACTTAAAGGAAAAGTATAGTACAAAGACAATTAAAGGGAAAAATGTAAAGTAAATTAAATGATACACAACGTCAGCATCTAGAATGTAAAACTCAAGACCATCCTGATTAATTGATTGTTGATTGCTTAACGTCCAGTGGCAAATATTTCATGCATGTTCAGGACGAGAACAATTCAGTTAACAATCAATACAAAAGGAAGTTCCTGTAATAGAAGCCATCCGGGATGAATGTCGGGAAAATAAGGAATGCCACTGGAAAATGAGGCTATATTGGAAAGAACAAAATTAAGCCTTGCCACAGGGCAGCTACGGATCCCTCAAAGAGTTTTTGCAAGGGTCCTTAACGTGCAGAAAGCGTGGTATTCTCTCTACACGAGGCATTGGATATAACGTCCCCATTCAGACCGGACGAGGCTGCGTATTTATACATCCCGCACAGCAAAACGGACACCATACTTTAGCAAGAGTTATACTGCCGGTCGGAAAAAAAACAAAAGCGTTAAAATTTCGATTACTCAGTCACCCTTTGGGAGCTGACTGTTTATGACTTCCCGAACAGCAAAACGGAAACCCCACTTTCGCGTGGGTTTTACTTCCGTTCGGAAGAAGACCAAAGTGACCATATTTCTATTCCTCAGTCACCCTTGGGGACAAAAAAAAACTTTGGTTATTTGTGATGAAGACACTGGACATTTACCTTATAGGTCTTGGTACTTTCCGAAGAACTCTTTGAGATAAAAGACGAGACGTTCTTTACAAAGTGTTCTTATTTTGCATAGCTGAATATGTTGTCTAAAGATTTCCAGTCTATAATAGCTCTTGGATCTTCTTGGTACTTAAACTTCGAGTTAAAATAAAAATCAGGAAACCAATCAATGCCCAGCTACACATTGCTTATACATTTTATGCATTTCAAACTTGAAAAATTATTTTCATATTTTTTGCTAGATTTGTATCTCGGCCATGAGTCTCGTTAAGACAAGCATACATATACACTATATCAAATATTAGGTATCTTTAATTCAAAGTGAAAGTCTTAGATCTGTCAACTCAAACAGGTTTTTCAGAATTATGTTGTTATGTTTACAATTAGTGCACCTTCTTGGTACTTTTATGAATAAAACACCACTAGTCCGTTGAGAAATGGTCCCTATCAGTCAGGTGCCAAAAAATCTTTATGTTGTTGGCTATTTCAGTTCTCAACTACGTTTTGTGTCAAAGAAAAAGAAGTCAACCGATACGAAAAATTAAAAACATCTCTTAAAAACATTACTTCCTCGGACTGGATTCGGTCTTTTCTTGCGTTTGTGTATGCCTTTTTGAAGTTATTTGAAGACACACGATGAATACAAACAAATAAACAAAGATACTTTACATTGGATATACCGTGGATCTAGTTTCATAGAGTCTTTAAACTTCTTTTTTGCTCCTGTGTTCATTTTCTGACACGGGGTCAATTTTTGTATCACAAACAGTCCGTTACTGAACACCTTTAGTCAGGGGACCCGAAAGCCCGTTAACATTATGCACCGTATATATAGAACAGTCAAAAACCGTCTTAGCTCTTCGAAGTTTGTATTATGTTTTGCATTTTCGATAATTTTAACCTGTACATCACTGAAAAACCATTAATTGACGGAATGTGCATCTGGTACCAATTATGTTATAAGTTTAAGCTTACCTGAGGGAAATGCAAAGTTATTGTAAAATCAATTTTGGTTTCATCAGCTGATCAAATTTTGATTGAGTTTTGGATGTTCATGCTTCGAGCATCACTGAAGAGACATTTAATGTCGAATATCTAATCTAGTACAGTTAGATTGGTACCGTGAATGTTATTATAGAAACATATTAAGTGGAAATTTATACACAAAACATACACATAACTGTAAAATGTTGATATGGTTATAATTTGTTTGCATTCCTTTTTGAAGGCTTAAAATGAACAAACTCCTATATGAAGGCAATATAATATAAAAGTAAGCCGATAAAGAGAATACATTTAAAGTTGTCTAAGCTGTTTATTGCAAAATGTCTTAGAAGTTCAGTTAAATTCTGAATAACATATATGTTCAATGAATAAAGATTTAGAAAAATTTAAATTGTCTAATAATGAAAACAATATGTATAAACTTGTTAAAAAATAACTGTTAAAGAAACAACTCTGCTGTTGCAAATTATTCTGCCACTTGGACTTGGCAAAAAAAAATCATTTAATTTTTAAAAAAGTCAATCGAAAGTCCGCGTTTATTTACGACTATGAGTTCTTTTGTTTCAATATTGTAAGGTAGTCCGCTTAGTTACAACAACTGTGTGATTCTGACCATCAATTGAAATTTATATATTATGTTATTTGAGTCCATACCTGCAACGTACACATCATCGCCGTCTACAGTCAAACCTGATGGATGGACGAGATCAGCATGTTTCCAGGGTGGGTGGTAAAATAAACGTGTCTTTCTGTCAGACCTTATTACAAATATTTTATTACTTTCTGAAGTAAAAAAAATATCCCCAGATTGGTGTACACAAATATCACGCGGGTCAGTTGTTGTTGTTATCTTGTCTAATTCATTTCCATCAGTATCAATTAAAACAAGGGTCTTTTCATCGCCTTTGAGCTAGATCCTCACATTTATGCTGCTAAGTCCTTTGCAATATGTACCTCCGATCTTAATTCCCAGCTTTCATATTTAGAATGGTCTGTATGTATGTAATTTTCGCCGAACGATACCAGGATTTTGTTAATATCAAACTTGGTTAGGCATTCTGGATAGAAATCTAACGTAATTGGTTTTGAATTGGATCAATCATGATTACAAATGTAAAGGACAAATCCAAATTGCGGCTTTAGCAGTAACTTATCTGCTGATATAAAACATCCGCTTGGTAATTTATCGTGCTCAGCCAGAGTATTTGCTTTAAATATACGAACAAAAGAAACGTTTCCCGGGCATCACAAACAAGAACGTGACTTTGTCGTATTTTCTTCGGGTTCAGTCTCGTAGGATTTGACAATGCTTTGATTGTTTGTTGTATATTTTGCGACTTCCGATGCTTGAGTATAGAACTCTTTATCTATGAATTTAATGACTTGGAATAGATGGATTTCAGTTGGGTTTTTTTTTTGAGATTTCAAATCT